CTTGTGTCCAAGGGCTGGAAGCCTAAGAGAAATATGTAAGTCGATGAATCTCTAGTTGACTGGGCGATTACAGACTCTGACTTTTGCCTAGCGTAATCGCGTCCTGGGATGCCGAGGAGTACGGCCTCGTCGGTAGCACTGAATGGGTCGAAGATAATGTCAATTGGCTTACCGAGACAGCCGTGGCGTATCTGAACATTGACGTCGCAGTATCAGGCCCGAGGCCTGCCCTCGCAACCACACCGGAGCTGCAGACTGTTGGCACTGAGATCTTCAAGAAGATCATCTACCCTAACTTTGGCGGCTTCAACATTAGCCTCTACGACGCTTGGTTGGAGTCCTCTGAAGGCATCGTCGAGTCTCTGGGAAGCGGCAGTGACTTCACAGGCTTCTTGCATAGGGGTATCAACTCGGTGAGTACCATCGGCCAAAGGCGACATCAGAGCTATCCGCGAGACAAATGCTAACCCGCCCTCCAAGCTCGACGTCGGCTCCAACAACGGCGCGACAGATCCGGTCTGGCACTATCACTCGAATTACGACACCTACCACTGGATGGCCAACTTTGGCGACCCAGGCTTCCTCGTCCACGCCGCTATTGGCCAGTACCTCACCCTCCTCGCCTATCACCTCGCCGACGACGAGGTCCTCCCCATCGACGTGCCAAACTACGCCACCGAGCTTCGCGCGTACCTCTCCGACTTGGAAGAGTACGCCGAATCCGAGGGCGCTGAGATTGATCTATCTGAGCTCTCTGAAGCCATCGAGATCTTTGCGACGCGGGCCGACGAGGTCAAGGCTCTAGAGCAGCTCGCTGTCACGACGGGCGACGCGGACCTTATTACGGTTGTAAACCACAAGTACCGAGACTTCCAGCGGGGATTCATTAGTCAGGGCGGTTTGCCTGATCGTGAGTTCTACAAGCATGTCATCACTGCCCCGGGCTTGGACACCGGATATGCTGCTGTGCTCTTCCCTGGAATCACCGAAGGCATCCAGTACGGCAAGGGCAACCTCAGCGTCGCCGAGGAGTGGGTTTCAAAGACTGCCCGAGGTATCTTGCGGGCTGCCGATATCATCAAAACGTAATGTTTTAACCAACCTTGTGAAGAGCGCATGATGAGCGGCGCCGAGTACCAGTAAGAGTGGGCCCAGCCATCTTCGGGCCTCCGGCGCTGATCGGGTCCAATTCTCCGAGCCTTTCTCCGACATACCCATGAGATAATGCAGAGAAGATTTTCATCAGATAATAAGTACTAATTCTGATTAACTTAATGAGACATAACCCATGCCTTGTGCAGCCAGTGCAAATGAGAAACGACGTTCACCTCTGGCATTTAAACTGTCTCGGGAAGTTGTGCGCATTCGAAGATACTCGGCAGCATGCCTTTTTCGGCCTGTGATGTATGACCACCTGACTCATATATCCTCAATTCATTGATGTAGTATTGGTTTTTAGTCTATGGTGCTAAGATCGTAGTAGCGAAGCTTCGATGATCATGTGTCCATCCACACCTCATTTGAGGTTTCCAAGTTGGAGTCACATCGCAGACGTGAATGCTCAGGCATGATGGCCATTAATTGTCATTCATTGAACTGTAAAACAACCTGAACTCCTACCCATCCTTTCAGAATAACCGAAACCGTACCCTCGCGCCCATAGTACGTCCCTGAAAGGCCGGCTTCCCTAAGAAGCCTGGCCTCCAGGTCGCCGCTTCTCGATGTTAAGAACAATGTCAATGAAGCTGCGCTTGAGTGGACTCTTCTTCCTAGCAGCCAGCAGCTGCGCAGTCTTGAGAATGTTCTTAATCTGCCGACCGTTGAGCGTCAGCTCAGACAACTCGGCAATGTCGTCATCAGAGACCTCGCTCTTGAGCGTCGCCCCCTGCAAGAAGTTGCGCCAGATCTGGCGACGTGACTCCGGGGTGAGGTCGGGGTACTCGAGCGAAACGTGAATGCGAGACTGAAATGCCAGGTCGATGTTGTCGACGCGGTTCGTTGTCATGAAGAGAATGCCCTCGTAGTACTCGAGCGTCCGGAGGAAAATGGAGACGACCTTGTTGCGCTCAAGGTCGTGCGTAGAGCGTGCCTCGAGGAAGACGTCGCACTCGTCCAGGAGTAGGATCGCGTTCCATCGTGCCACGAGTTCAAGGATGCGAGAGAGGCCATGCTCGACTTCCCACGGCTGGGAGCCCAGATCACCCGAGCTGAGGGTGTGCAATGGAACGCGGAGATTCTCGGCGACGGCTTCCGCCGTGAGTGTCTTGCCGACACCAGGGGGACCCGAAAGCAGGCAGATGATGCCCTTACCCTTGCCGGAGATGACATCGTCGAAAGTAGAGCCGTCCAGCTGCGACTCGGAGAAGGCGAGGATCAGTTCCTTCTGGTCCTCGGGCAGTACGAGCTTGTCAAATGCGTTTGTGTTCCAGGTGATTTCGGTGACTTGCTCGACAAAGAAGTCGAGCCACTTCTTCAGCTTAAGGGAGTACCCCCGTGTCCGAGACCGTGCCAGCATCTGATGGTAGGGAGTCAGCTTGAGGTTGCCGTCCTTGCCCAGTCCATGCTGGCGCTTCCACGCTGAGAGCGCCTCCATGTCCTTTGCGTTCCAATCGTCAACGTAGCGGTTGCGATAGGGACTGAAGCGGTTGAACGAGTTGATGTCGACGACGATGCGGCCCTCGACCTGGATGGGTACCTCGTTGCCCTCACTATCCCAGGTGATGGCGGTGCCCGAGTACTGCTTGTAGTTATGCCCGGCGAGATCCTCGAAGATCTTGCCGCGCTGGATAAGGCCGGTACGCAGCTTCTCCTTCTGGGTGTGGAATGCCCAAGGGTAGGCGTTGAGGCCAGTGATCTTCTTGGTTCCAAGGAATTCAGAGATGTTGATGCGCTCGCCGTAGCGGCCGAACTCCTTGCCACCGTAGTCAACGCAGTCGGCACGCAGCTGAAGGAACTTGCCGCAGTTGTTCTCCATGTACTCAGTCTCCTCGAGTTCAAAGGCCGAGAGGGGACCCTTATGGGCTGAGAGGACAATGGCACCAGGCTGGAAGATCATCCACAGGTGCTCAAACGTGATGACGCCCTTTGCAACGTAATCCTCGAATGCCTTGATGGTGTTACCAATCTCGTACTGGAGGATGTCGTGCAGAATAGTGAGATGCTCCTTGGTGTTGGCATCGAGATCCTTCTTACCCAAGTACTTGCGGAATTCCGTCCAGCGGTGCACAAAGGGACGGAAGGGAGCGTCGAATTCAAGACGTTCTAACTCGCAAGCAACGCCCGTGTAGCCGTCTAGGATAACGCTCAATGCCTTCTTCAGCCAGGGGCTCTGGATGACAATGGAGTCGGCCTCGAGTTTCTTCCGGCTATCGTTGCTCTTGACGTTGCGCACCACGACGGCATACTGCTCAGTCTCTTCGTTCTCGGCGGCTTCCTGCACGTCTTCTGGGTACTTGTCGACCCATGTCCAGTTGCCATCGCTGTCTTTGGCGGACTTGTAAATATTCTTGGTAGAGGCGATTGAGCCGAAGGGAGCGAGTGGCTTCTTGGGCTTCTCCTCCTCATCCTCATTCTTCTCCTCGCCGTTGGTCTCTGCTGACGTTTCGTCTTTCTCGGCGGTCTCGCCGTTTGTGGAGTCGCCATTTGACTCTTTGCCGTTTGTGGCCGATGTGCCATTCGTCTTTTCTTGGGCAGGGGTCTTGGTTTCCTTGGCCGAATCGTCGACCATCTTCAGGCCCAAGGCGGCCGCTGCCGCTGCGGTTGTGCGTGCCATTGTGAATACTCTATAGTGAAGGTACAACGGAAAGAAGAGATGGTGATGACTTTGAATTCCAAACTCGGATCGAACATGGTCTTCCGTAGATATTTATCTTCATTGCGATACCTCCAGAAAGTTCCGCGCGCAAAGTGTAAGAAGTCTTTCTTTTGCCATCTCGTCAAACCTGACAGCAAAGCGCCAGGCACCACGCATCGTGCTCTAGTGGCTGCCTCAACAGGGGTCGAATCATTGATGCCTCTGATGCGCATGGCATGTGGCAGTGACTCACCCCTGTTCACGGCTCATGGGCTGCCGACTGCGAAACGCATCCGTCTCTGTGTGGACAAGAGAGCATGTTGCTGCCTACAATGGGCCGTCCGCCGCAGAAGCGTTGATCGAACGAAGAGGCCAATTGACGGGGGAGATGTAAGCACTAGAGCGGGATGAGATCCCGCATTTGCAAGGCAGAAGAGCCGCCCTAGCACAAAGTTTGTTGTCAGGATTCAGGCCGCCAGAACTGGCCGTCTTGCTCATTCGCCGATCTGTGGCAAACAAGGTGTCTTTCGTTAACAAACGACTGACAGTGTTCCAACGTGCAAAAGAGTTGAGCGAACTTCTACTAAGAAGTCAGAACAATAGTGAGGTGGTTGAGTCAACCTCCAGAGGCCTCACGAAGGATTCGAGAAGAGGCCTAGACAACGCTAAAGTCTTGTCAACTCCTGCAGGCAGACGAGCACTGCCTACAGCCCCCATTCTTTCAAGCGGTTCTGCTCGCTTCAACCAAGACGGGAAGCACCGATCGCTTGTTCGACCCCTGGAAGGGCTGAGCATCATAGCGTTACAGCGCCACATAAGCGGCAGAATAGCGGGGGAACGAGGACTGATAGGGCTAGGATTGTTGATTGAGACACGTGTAGCGCGTCCAGTGTTTCCTGTAAGCCTCGTTTGCATCCTGTTCCAGCCACGGCTCTTGCATGTGTTGAATAGGTCCTGGCAACTTTGATACTCGCGATAAACAAACTATGTCATTGTTCATTATCTTTCAATAGTAACTAGATGGAATTCAATCTGCTTCAGCTGTCCCCACATATATACGATTCTCACTGATCCTGAGAAATAAAGCACGAACACAAGCTACAAAGTACTGTAAGTATGTACAGAGAATCCAAAACGCTGACCACTACGTAGCACCTTACTGATTGACCCCAGGTTCCTCAGTTCTTCAAGCACGCCCACCTTGGTTCTACTTCCAGCTAGTACTGACCGTGACTGCAGTAGAACAACTTTGGGGCACAGTGTAGGATCTGTTCGGGTCGCTCTCCCATGTCGCAGTCCCGTCCGACGCCACATTGATGAACTTGTACTCAAAAGTCGTTCCGGCCGGCAGTGAGACAGTGTAGGTCCACAGGTTATTCGAGCTGGTGTACTGCGCCGCCGAAAGCGCCGGAGCCGAAGCCACATTCCAGTTGCCGAGCGCAGCAATAGAGCCCGCGACCTTGATTGTCTGGCCTGGGACTGTCTTGACAATTTCGTTGAACGTAACAGCCACGGTACTGGCGATGGCGCAAGTGCCGCTTGTAGCTGTCGCCGCGGCGCTGGTTGTGCGTGTCGAGGACGGCGAGGTGCTCCCCCCGCCGCCGATGGCAATGTCGGCGCATGTGAGGTAAACCTGGCCGGTCTGGAACGAGTTCCAGCGCAGCGACAGCAGGGTGTGGTTGGAGACGTAGTCGGGGATCTTGATCTTCTTGGTCACGGTGTAGCCGCCGGCGATAGAGGTGTAGCACGACCCCAGCGCGTTATTGTCGACGCCCTGGCACCCGCGTCGGCTGCTCGCCTGGAACGCGTTGCAGGTGAACCAGTCGTTCCGCCAGCACGCCTGACCGGAGGTGCAGTCCGGGCTGTAGTCGCAGCTTTGACCCGAGACATCGGTGCACTTGAGGGTGCCGGCCTGGAAGCAGTTCTCCGCGGCCTGCTTCTCGTCATCGGTGGGAAGGTATCCGGGTGTGATGAACTTGTCGACGATGGACTGGTCCTGGCAGATGCGGTAGCTGAACATGCCGCCATGGTCGCCATTGTTGTCGACGCACCACTGGACATCGACGGTCTGGCCGCGCGTATAGGTCGCGACTACATTGCTGCCCCAGCTGCTTCCGGGCTGGTTATAGTCAACGCTGACGCGGGCGTTGTAGCCGCAGGGTCCGCTTCGTCCGACGGTGGCGGCCGTGAGGTCCGGCCATGCGGAGACGGGCTCCCGGATAGTGCACTCGGGGCAGGAATCTATGCCGGCCTGCCGATAGTCCATTAGCTCAATGCTGGAGCAGTCTTCGATACTACTTGATGGGTTCTTACCTCATGGCCGAGACGAGTGCGGCTAGACGGGATCGTCAGATATCCATGTCCATACACAGAGGAGATGAAGGTGGCAACTGCCAAGGTCGTGAATGACTTCATGTTGAAAGGCTTGCAGGCTTCCTGTGAGAGGTCTGACCGTTCAAGATATCAATCTACAGCTACTTCCAGAAGCGATGCTCCATATCTCTCACAGCATCAGTCTGAGAGGAATCATCTTGGCTTTATATGCCAAATTTCACATTTGGTATCCCATAACGTCGCAGCCATAGCATACTCACATGCTTCTATGATGCTACTAGACATCTCACGATCCAACTTGCCCTTGCTGCTCCCACCGGCACACATCACATCAAGCAACGCCGAAGTACCTCCAACCGAGACGGCCCTACCCGTTCACGTTTCCCCGGACCTAAACTCGACCTGGAAGTCCGGGGCATCTCCAAAATATCATGCAGGCGGTGGCGGGGTAGCAAAGTTCTGTTAGTGCCGGCTGTCATATCTCCAACTGGCAACCACCGCGGGGTGAGTAGGCCCGCTGTGTGGCCAGCCATCCGAACACCTACCTGCAACGGCTCACCTCTGTAGACTCTGCATGCGCCCAACCCCGCGGTGCCTGATGTAGCACATGCAACACAAGAGAGTTCCTGATCTTGGCATGGTCAATGACACCCTACGCCCACGTCCAAGGCGGAGTTGTGCGGAGTCTTGAGGAGTTGGGGAGTTGAGGTAGCATCCCGCCTTGCACATCAGATGACGGGTCACGACGACCTCAAATTTGCATAGAAGGCCCGAAGATGAGGTCCTTCTCAGATCATGGCATGCACTCTGATCAAAGTCAAGCTCTACCGCCGTCAAATAAACTGCCGAAAAACGCCCGGCTCCTGCATACAGGTCATCGATCGCAGGCCAACTCATCTGACTATTGGTGGCTTAATCAGGTAATACTTCTAAGCTTGTGAGGAGTCGTGGTTTCCACCAGGTTTCCTGCCTGTTCCTGACTGATCAATCCGGTTCTTGTTTCTGTCTTAGAACTTGCATCGCATAGTTTTGGTTGTTCTGGAAATATGGTCATTTTGGTATTGCTTCAAGGAATACAGTCCGAAAGCACATGCACTTCAGGAACACCGGAGCCTCGACTACCTCAGTTTCTTCAACCGCGCCGTCAATAGCACACATAGTTCGGACCAATGGCATCGCTGATGACCCATATAGTGACGAAAGTATTCATTCACATCTCATATGACGCTTAGCATTGCTTTGTTCTGAATGATTATATCATCACCTGATACCGGGACAAAATCACTTGATCACTGGAAACCAAGGTCTGGTTTACAGAAGTAGGTGGCAACATGGATGAAACTCGCAACATGTATTCGTTTAAGGAGACCAAATCATTTTATGTGTTGAGCCTTCTCAAGCAATCTGATATCTTTGTGTTTCGGCTCTGATCGTGGTTCCTGTTTCGCTCATGTATTACTTTAGGGTCCCATAACGCCTGCTTGTATCTGCCGGGTACGAAATACAGATCAAGCCATCCATATCGGCCTATCTACCCCGCTCATACCTCTAGCCTTTGTAACGGACCGACTCCATGGTGGTGTTGACGCATGATATACCATTGAGAAGTTGGTGTTGTGACGGACCGATATTCAATGTAGACAATAACTTGTGTTGACAACTATGCTCCATCTACTTGTGGCCACCGACGAGTCACTTACCTCATTCCGATGTTATTTGTCCAGTTCCTTGTGACAAGCGCTTTCGACACTTCTCAGGCGTCCCGAAATTGCCTCCAGGCTCTCCACTTGAAGGCACCGGCATCTCTACATGTAACAATACGAGCAAGCCCTCCAACTATTCTCGCCGCATCTTACCTTGACTGATATCCTGATGTCCCGTTACAAAGATTATGTCGTATTAGAAGGATCTCTTTCGTCGCTGTGCCTGTCTCAAACTCTTCGTGACGTTCGTGGACTTCGGCACTTGATATTAATACTGCATGCATGCTGCACTGTTAGTCACCATGGACTGCCAAGCTCGTCAGTAGAACCACTGCCGGTACTTTCCTTCTCTTCCACGAGGCGCATAAATGCTCCTGTAGCATTTGTCATGTTTTTGCCACGTGTCAGGATGCGTTCAAGGGCAACATCAATTCAAGCTTGCAGCTTTTCGTGGGGAGCATTTCTTGGTTCCACAAGCGCCCCTAACCCTGATTCTTGTTTTCCTCTACACCTCAACTTCACGGATAACGTAGCTCTGCCCCCTGAAATTAAACTTTACCATCAAATGAAGGAGAAGTTATGACTATGGCCACTTTGACTGCCGATTGTTCAAGTTGAAATCCCTAGAATCTACGGAGTAGTACTTCGTGTATTTTACAAACAACAGAACGGCAAATACCCACGCAGCAGCAGAAAGGCTACGGCGGGTAAGAACCGCGGTAGAATACATCATGCTGTGTGAAATACTAAGTCATGTGATGCATCGATTTGCGTTTTAATATAGATCACTTGGCGACAGCGTCACTTAATATCGCGAAAGTCCCGATCCTCATAAACAAAGCTAATTACGGGAAGGGTGAATCATCAATATAGTTGACTTTCAGCACAGACAGAAATGCGGTAGCTGAATACGGCTCTGCCGAGGAGCGATACCGAGGCTGAAAAGCAGTTTAGACTTCCATTGGGACTTTGAGTTATCTACGTTCGAGGCGAGATCATTGCCTGGCTGGTGTGCTCACTCACTGCCTACATTTCGCCGCGGCTTCCCTGCTTAAACCGTGTTGATGGAGCGAGATCCTAGAATCCCGCTGCCGTATTTTGAGTTCATCTACGCCCACTCACGCGCGCTATCCAATGATAGTGATTAATGGGTACACGGCCGTAAGCTTTCCAGGATCTATCCCATCGCGCCGAGTTGTCATCCGAGCGTTTTCGCTCCCATCATCCCAAATGGGTATCGTCGTGGCCTGAACTGCCCCGTAGGTACTCGAACCACATGAATATATGACCTTGGGTTTCTCAACTCGAAGCTTTGCGTTCGACTGTATCGCGTCAGTTTTTGCGGCAGGTACATGTCTGTTGTTTCCTGCCTTTGGCGGCAGATCAGAACCTTGTTGTGACTGGGAATCGTATCAACAAGTATAAGAATGTACTTTCCCAGACTGACGATGTATAGGGTTTTTGTCGATGCATTTCCTTTATCCATTCAACCTCCATGGCAACGAGAAGCCGATATTACCCCTTATCAAGCCACACTTAAAGTTATTCTCGAAATGGCCGGTGTTCCAGTAGCCCGCCGTCTAACGCTTTTAGCGCCTTTGCATCTGAACTTCTAAAGCCGTTAGAAGTCAAGAGTGCCCTACCGTTGGGCCGCCATACCTCAACTAGCGGAATTTTGAGACAAGCCACCGAAATACGAGCTCTGACGATCCTTCGTAGCCTTCGCGCCACTTCCCTATCGCCAAATGGCCAACCTTTCTCTTCGTGATCTCATTTCGAGCGATGCCTCCTAGCGATTCATGTCACTGCCGCCTTAGCCGGTATACACTTATCCGCGCTCCTGGTAATCTGCCGCGAGCATGGACTGATGCGCCTGGAGCTGATATAGAAAGTCCCTTCAAATTGCAGTGCAAGAGAGTTAATTAACCTGGTCCAGCGCACGTACTTGAGACCATTAATGTCAATGGTGGAACCGGCGCCGGTCCGGCAAATGTCAACTGTTTCCTGGTTCTCGGGTCCTGATCGAAAAGGAAAAACGACGAGTTTCGAGTCATTGTCTCCTGGTAAAATGGGTCTTCGGCCGTGGTTTATCAAGGACCCATCCGCGCGCGGCACGCCCACATTACGACTGGGAGTCCAAACAAGCACGGACAAGGCGATCGACAATCTGCTCGCGAAAAAAAAAAAGCCTCAGGGATGTATCAAAGATTTGCGCAGGCTTTTTCTGCCAGTCTTTGGGGCAATCGAGGGCAGCCATGGAGCCCATGATGCCCATGCAAAATTGTCTCTGGGGTTCGCTTACGACACAGCAGGGGTGTTTTTTTCTTTCTCATTCGGAATGCTGCCAGATCCGGCTCTGCGCTTACATTTGACGCTCAGTGCACGTTTGGCCGGCATTTCGGGGATTTAGGAGTTGGCCGTGATTCTGAATGTGTGATGAACGACGGGTGTGATTCAAAATTGCATAGCAATGGTGTTTGATATTTTTTCTATGTTTATCGATTACACTATGTTACTTCTACCATCTAGATCGTTTCTTCATACCATGTTGTTGACTCTGTGCCGTCTGTCATGGCCCGTAGTGTCTGGAATCGAGTAATTGTCACCCGTGTCGTCGGGGCCGTTGTGTTGAATAACGTCCATCTCCAGGCCATCGTCCTTGCCAACAATATTCTCGGCCGAGCTGGCATAATTTTTCCGTGGCCCGGAACTGATTGTCTCGGGGTTTGTTCCCCTGGTACCCTTCGTCCCCCTGCTATTCTGCTTGTCTGGGTTCGAGAGCCCGAGTGTAGATTTCGCCGCGTGCCATGATCCCATAATGGCCGCGTCGAGCACCGGTAGTGAGGCCGTCACGATGCCCATAGATATGTCGAGTACCGTCCATCTCAAGATGATGGTGTAGTCCCAGAAAATATCTGTTGACGTGAATGGCTGCAGCTGTTGTAACAGACCGCCAGTGACGGTCAACCCTCCCGCAGCCCAGATGATGAAGAGCCTAATCTTCTTGCCCCTGTCGATACGAATACTCCACAATATGATAATTGGTGTTGCCAGGAGGAGGATACTCTGCACGACGTGGATGATGCTAAGAACCTTTGCACTGAGGAACTGGTTTCCACACGTCGCTGGCTCTGCCAAAGCTCCTGCAAACTCTCTATCCCAGACAGCCCGTGGCGGATTGCAAAGGAAGATGCTCCAGAACAAAGCGGCAATGACATAGGCAACAACCGTGACGAGGAAGATATCCGCTAGAATCCTCCACGTCCTGTACGCTGTGTCGACCAGCCGTCTGATAAAGAGAGTGATGGATATCTTGATGATACCGACCGTAGGGTAGTATAGAAGCCGGCAAATGGTAAGGTAGTACGAGTAGAACTGGTAGTCGTCGTAGGTATTCTCCCAGGTATGCGTGCCGCCTCCTGCGTCGACGACGACGAGGATCTGTAGTATCGGATATACCACCGCTAGACTCGCTGCCGCTATGATGACCCAGTCGTCCCATCCAAACTTGGTTTGTGCTCCCCGCCCTCGAACCCAAAGTCTTCCTGCTGTCGGTACTATGATGGCGAGCAGGACGACAACCATTCCTGCGATGATGGCACCTTGCTTCGACTCGTGGACGGCGTTTGCGGGCTCTTTTGCGGCAAAGAGGTAGCCTAGACTGGGGTCGAGTGTGGTAACGCCATACTGTCGGTAGATACCCCTGATGATGTTGTAGTCCCTCGTATTATTTGGTGGTTTTCCAATCTTCGCTGAGGTCGTTACGTTCGACATGGCGAAGGGTAGGGGTTTGGTTTGGAAGTCAGGGGCAGGTCGGACTCGTAGTAACGGATCACCCGTATGGGGAGGGGGAGGCCGGACCGCTTTATGATATGAATTCGATCAGATGGAAGGTAGCAACATAGCGGAGATTTTGATGTATCATGGTGCGCAGTCTAGGTTGGTTTCATATCGTGGTTATCAAGATCAGGTTCCTTGATGAGTGATGGCCTAGCTCGCGTTCACCCCATATGGTGTGGATTAAGTCCCGGGAACGTGGGATGGGCTGAAAGGTCGAAGGCTCATAGACTCGCAGACCATCCGTAGTACCTAGTGCAATTGCAAAAAGTGCGCAACAGTGAACAGCGGGCAACAGCATTGGGAAAGACGAGCCGCTGTTTTGGCTCGTGTTCCACCAAGGCCCGCGATGGCCATCCAGCTCATAAATTAAGCGCAAGGTCAAGGTTGTCTTAGAGCGTGCAGCTGAAGTGGAGGGTGAGGCGATCTCGAGTCATGGCCCCTCCTTCACCCTATGCCGTCGGCAGCCTACCTTGCGACGCGAACGCCGGAAGGCCTGCGAGTTCACGGCACGGGTCCAATGGTGAGCCCTGGGCGTCAAAGATCGGACAAGCCCAAAGCTGCAGTGAGAAACTCTGAAAAGAGGTTCCTCAGCATTCCGGGATTTCCCCCTTCTTTAGCACGTCACGCCTCTGCCTTGTGCAGATGGACTGGCAAGGGGCGACTTGCGGGCAGAGGCTTGGCTGCGATCGGTTGGGAAACTCGTCCGCCGAGGGGAACATTCTCTCTCCACGGTGTTGGGCCCAGTCTTGCCCAGTTCCCCGAGATTGCGTTCAAAAGTTCGTTGCTCCAATATTTGCAATTTGGAGAGTCCTGTTTGGCTTGATCCGAACCAACACAGAAACGAACCAAGCTCCGGTCGTTTAGCGTATATTAACGGTAGTTCTCGTTCGCAAGCCTTGCTTTAGAACTCGTTCTCGCCCTTCCTTTATTCGTCTGATGATGATGCGCGTTTGACTTGTTTGTGTGTTCCAGCCAGATAAATCTGTGCGCATCTAGCGCGCTCCTCTCTCTGTTGTCTGGCGTGTGTCAAACTGCTTCAACGTCCCGCCAGCCACAAGAATCATGGTCCGATTTGCGGGTTTCTCCGCGCTCGCGCTGGCCGCATCAACGGCGACGGCCACCTCAAGTGCCGACAGTAGCTGCATCGGCGTCAACGCCGTCAGCTCCACGTGCAGACCTTCAGAGACGTTACACAGTCGAGAATTCTTCTACGTCGGGGGCCAAAGCGCACCAGACCCCACGGGCAACATCACCATCGGCCAGCTCTACGTTGAGAAGCTCACCCCCATCCTCACGCTACGCTCGACCCCCTTGGTCTTCATTCACGGCGGCGGCATTCCGGGATCCACATGGCTCAACACCCCTGACAACCGTCCCGGGTGGGCGACCTACTTCCTGAGGCAAGGCTACCAGGTCTACCTCGTCGATGCTAACAGCATTGGCCGATCCACGGCCAACAACGCCGCCAACTTCACCATGGCTGTAGGCATGTCGGCCGAGTTTGTCGAGATGGGCTTCACCGGCGTCAAGAACTACAACATCTACCCCCAGTCCCAGCTTCACACCCAGTGGCCCGGCACGGGCATGCGCGGCGATCCCTTCTTTGACCAGTTCCAGCAGAGCTTCATTCCATACACTACCAGCCAGGTTTCCCAAGAGCTGGCCATGCGCACCGCTGGGTGTGAGCTTCTCTCCCTCATTGGCGCACAGTCTTACCTCGTCTCTCACTCACTGGGCTCCAAGTTCGCCATCGGCATCTCCAATGATTGTCCCCAGTATCTCGCCGGGAACATCAATGTCGAGCCCTCGACGATCCCCTTTCGCGCGTACGGCTATGGTCTGACCAGTACCGCGGCTAATCCCTGGGGCCTGACGAACACTCCCGTCGATTACGAGCCGGCGGTATCCAGCGCCGCGGAACTTAACGCCACTGTCGAGTCTGTGGGTGAGCCGTCGTTGGCTCATCGTAACTGCTACCTTCAAAAAGAACCTGTTCGAAAACTTCCCAAGATCGCCAGTGTACCGTACCTGGCTTTGACGGGAGAGGCCAGTGTTCACATTACCTACGATCACTGTATCATCAACTATCTGAAGCAGGTGGGTGGCCAGCCGGAGTGGATCAAGCTTAGTGAAATTGGAATCAAGGGCAATGGCCACTTCATGCACCTTGAAAAGAATAATCTCGACATCGCTCCCTTGGTCCACAAATGGATCAAAAAGCAGCAGCAATGGTGGTGGTGGTAATGGTTGCGCTTTGCTGTGCAGCAGCTGGACTGAATGAGATGTGATACCTATGTAAATAGTATAAGCATACCTGTACATATACGCAGTAGTCGTAATCCGATACCCTCAACGCACTACACGGGATTCCCGGACATTTAACTCACCACAATCACATCGGACTGTAGCGCAAGCCGTCTCTGCCTGCCGGACCAAGAGTGACCGCGCATATAAGCGCAGAGTCAGATCATCTTCATTATTTATACTGCCGCGCTGCATATCGTGGATGTTTCAATATAAAGCTGTGAACTCTGCTAAGACGGCCCGCGGCATCCCTACTATTTTTAGGTTCAGGACAGGGAGGTTTAACCACTGGTCCACTGGAGTTTTCCCCGGGAATAACGAAGTTCACACTATGGGATAGTTCGATCCAAGCTCCTCGGCAGTCTCAAGCCAACAGACCAGTAGCGGTTTCATCGACAGCAATGTTATGCCGGCCTTGCGGCATCGAGTGTTTTGGCCCCCAGGAATCCTGCTCATGCCTAACTTCAGTTTTACAACAGCTATAAGAAGCACATGTCTCGAATCGCATGACAATATGGGCTGCTGATCTGATAGACTGATGCTGACAGAACACGTACACAATGGTAGGAAACGCGTGTGTCACTGCACCCGGGGCTGAAATAGGAAACAGCATTGAGGATTGAATACGTTTGGTCACAATTGCTATCTATTAGGGTACAATCCCTTGGCCACACAATTTTTTTATGGGTAGTAATCTTGCGGAACCTCGATGACACCGCTCATCCAAGTAGACCAGTCCTCGGCCTTGGTCTCATCTGCACCATACTTCAAGTGAGATATCAGCAGTCTGTATCCGCCCTTCAACATAGGGATAGGCACAGACGCAGTCTCGACGTCCCACAACCTTGGAACAGGCCAGGAGTCAAACAAGCTAGTCACTGGCGCATTATTGTAGTTAACGTACAGGTTGCCCAGTAACTCAGCACCTGCGACTGTGCCGTTGACAGGCTGTGCTGTCTTTGTGTAGTTCAGAACTCTGTTCTGATTGAATCCATACCATGTTGGTCTAAAGTCTGTGTCTGCGCGAACGACGTCCAGCCGCTCAATCTGCACGGGCTGCATGCCAGCATAGTACAGGGTCAGCTCGGCGGGATCAATTTTGATGTAATCCTGGATCCCGAAGCCGTCGGAAGTGACAAGCTGTGGAGCTCCGAACACGGGATACTCGGTTACGGGTATGAGGACGTTAGGCGGCACAGGGTCAGTACCCAAGCTGGGGGCAGCCGTGTAGTTGTACCCGGCGCCTTGGTATGGGACGGAGAGCTTTTCATTTCGGTCAGAGGAGATGGAGATGAAGCCTGAGTAAAAAGGGATCATGAAAGCTCGGAGATTTTGCGGCGGTAGGATATCCACGGAAATATTCTTGCTCTCACCCGGACCTAGAGTGACTGTCGAACCTTCTGGGAAGTTGATGGTTGCTGCAAAAGGAAGAGAGGCTAGCCGTTGATAGACGTTGCTAAAGAATCCCACCTGGCCTGGGATATCTGGATTAGGGTAGCGAGCCATGCCAGGGGCTGGGATGTGACCCAAGGTATACTCTGTGGCCTTGTCCGATGGGTTTGTAATAGTGATAGAATAGCTGGACCTGGCAACGACCTCGTTGGGACCGAGGTCAAACTGGCCAGGCGAGATGAATGAAGGATAGAAGATCGCATTGTAGGCGTCGACCAAGCCTGCTCCTTGATGAACGGGAGGCGAAACATCATCACGGGTGGCACGAGTCGTAGGCTTCGAGGTTGACTGGAGGCGGTTGAGAATCTCGGTCACTGATAGCTCCGGGAATTGCGACTTGACAAGTGCAAGAACTCCAGAAAGGTACGGAGTAGCCATTGAGGTGCCACTGGCCAGCGCCCATCCTGATGCAGCAAGAGGCCAGGTGGACAGAATTTGGCCGCCAGGCGCACTGATCTGGGGCTTGAGGCTGAAGTCCCATACAGGTCCTAGACGGCAAGGTTAGAATATCTCAGAGACCCAGATCTTCCAACTTGAAAACTTACCTGGACTGCTAAAGTTGTTCATCTGGCCGCCCCACGCTTCCCGAGTAAGCTGGGGAACAGCAGTTCGAAACGTTACAGAATATTCGCCTTTCAGAGATCCAACCTGAATCTTGTTGTTTGTCGTTGTACCGAAGTTACGCGCAGCATTTGGCAGGGTTGCACTGAACCCCTCCAGAAATGGATTGTCCAGGACGTCCTTATCAGGGTACGTGAGAATGTTATTGAAGCCTGCGGTAGCTGCAACATCCTGCATCAAGGAGAGACCGCAAAGCCCACGCCGAACGACGACCACGTAGTTCTCCTTTGAGCCGCTTACCTTGCTTGCAATGGCATCGTAATCAGCCGCCCGGCATCCGAAGTTGCCTTGAACACCCCCATCGCCGACGTGCACGGCCGTGAGTGTACAGTTCAGGGGAAATGGATAAAGACTTCCATAGCGAATAACGTCCCCATTCGAATCGACCAACTCAAAAGTCTGGAATAGAGCGTTCTCGATAGAGCCGACTGCAATGGCAGCAGGGCTGTTGGCGGGCGCATTGACTGCAAAGGGGAGGTTGGCCCCGTCATTGCCTACGGCAGCCACCACAGCAATACCGCTATCCGTCAACTTCTGAATCAGAACGTGGTAGGGGT